TTGTACAGCCTGGATTAGTCACTCAGAACAATAAAGACATATTGCCATAGTACAGTCTTTGAAATCCACCCTTTGGACGAATTAATAGTAAAGGATGTTATGACTCATTTTTGAGAAACTAATGTTATATTGCGTCAGGTAGAAGCTAAGGACTTGAGTAACGGGTTTTCAAAAATGTCAAACATGTTCAGGAATAGCTACTTTCTATTGTCAAAAGGAAACGTGCAAGTTGAAATTACTTCTTATAGTTGCTGGACTATGATCTCTCATGTAAATATGGGATAAGAAGTCACTAGCAACAGAATTCTACAATCAAAATTGCCAATATCTTTACTGTAAGCTAAATGTATTTTATTAATTCAAATATTTTTAAGGATCCCTGCATCAAAATAACAATGTTGCTAGTACTGTCAGCTTCCTAATAATTCCTGGGTATCATATGTGTGCAGAGTTCTTTACAAGATCTGCAGGAAAAGGGGTTCAAGGCTGTTATGGGTGAATCCCAGACAGCAGCTCAGCCTCACACAGCTGCTCACTCACTCCCCCACAGTGGGATGGGGGAGAGGATCGGAAGGGTAAAAGTGACAAAACTCATGGGTTCAGATAAAGACAGTTTAATAGGTAAAGCCAAAGGTGCATGTGCAAGCAAAGTGAAACAAGGCATTCATTCACTGCTTCCCACCAGCAGGCAGGTGTTCAGCCATCTCCAGGAAAGCAGGAATCCATCACACGTAATGGTGACTTGGGAAGACAAATGCCATAACTCCAAACCCCAGCTTTATATGCTGAGCATGATGTCGTATGGTATGTGATACCTCTTTGGTCAGTTGGGGTCAGCTGTCCCAGCTGTGTCCCCTCCCAACTTCTTGTGCCTTCCCAGCCTACTCGCTGGCACGGTGGCGTGAGAAGCAGAGAAGGCCTTGACACTGTGTAAGCACTGCTCAGCAATAGCTAAAATATCCCTGTGTTATCAACACTGTTTTCATCACAAATCCTATGAGCTACTGTGAAGAAAATCAATTCTATCCCAGCCAAAACCAGTACAAAGGCCTAATCCAAATGTCAGCAGTGAGAAGGTTAGCACAAGAGAGTTTTTGAATGAAGCAAGGAGGTGACGGGATGAAGTTTAATGTCTAGCCAGAGGGAACTAAACTTAAGTCTGGACTATAAAGACCATGGTACTTACAGAAAAGTATACAGCTGGGCCAGTTTAGTCATCTGTTTAACAGCAAATGCATGAGTTGGCATGTGTCAAACACACACTTCTTGTCTCAGAGTTATTTCTGCTCCTTAGGCAAACATAAGACTGTCTTTGGAGCAGATCTTGTAACCAACTCATAGCACACTTTGGCTTCCGTGCAGCAGAAAGAGACCTTACAGCTGCTTTAAGTTTTTCCAGCACAATAAGAAACCTGAATAGGAGGGAAGAAGTAATTTCTACTGGGCGCTGTGAGGGGCCAGGACACAATTTACATCAGAAGTCCTGTTTTAAGTGCTTTACTTTTGAACACTGTTAACAAATACAAATTACAGGAAGCCAGTGGTTACTTTAACGTATTAGGATTTGTTAAACTACTTGGTAGTTTCCAGGATTAGAAGACCGAGTGATGTAAAGTTGTCCCTGTGTGCACTTTTACCAGGTGTTGTGTTATATGGCTTTAGCATCCCTGGGGAGACCCCTGTCTCTGCTCTGCAGTAATGTGATGTTGAACATCACTGTTACTATTAAAAGGGTATCTCTGCTAATCATTTTTTTTGTGAAAGTGAACAGGAAAACTTCCACTCAGTATTTAAACACCACAGATTCAATGTCATTGCAACTTATTTTGCAACTGACATTTCTCTCCCTCAAATTTACATGGTGGATGTTAACAATTTTTGATTTAGAGACAACTGAGGCTTCTATTTGTACATTCAGTAGAATGTTTTAGGAGTTTCTGCAAATGCCAACAAGTTGATAACAAATAGAACATATTGTGCAAGTGCTGTGCATCATTTCTAAGCTTTATGCTATATTTGCAACTCCTGACATGCACAAGGTCAGGAAATAAAATTCATTTTCTTCCATAATACTGATGATGGGAACATGAGGCTGCCAAATTAAGTTATTAAGTCATTTATCGGAGCATCCTTTTTCCATGATTTTGCAGAGCAGGTCAGGTTGAATGAATGATGGTGGGTGCCCAAAGTATTTGCAGTGTTCTTGGTGTCACAGGCTGTTGTAATTGCTGCTGAGAAACTGTTTATCTCTCTATTCCCAGAAAATTGCCTGGAGACTGGCTGATGTTCCTTTTGCTATGACAGAAGCCAAATTAAAGAAGCTAGGGGTGCTCTACGGTGCTTGTCTGTAGGCATAGTTTTTAGAGCTGTCCAAAAATGAGCCAGACTGGGGAGTATAATTCTGCCATTCTAGCAGGGAATTGAATGACAGTTCTTCAGAACTGATTTTATATGAAATTATGTTAATTTTGAAAAAATATTTTTATAATTGTATTTGAAAACAATTTTAGAAACATTGTTCAAGAAACATGTCCTGGTTTCAGCTGGGATAGAGTTAATTTTCTTCCTAGTAGCAGGCATAGTGCTGTGGTTTGGATTTAGTAGGAGAAGAATGTTGATAACACACTGATGTTTTAGTTGTTGCTGAGTACTGCTTATGCTAGTCAAGGACTTTTCAGCTTCCCATGCTCTGCCAGGTGCACAAGAAACTGGGAGGGGGCACAGCCAGAATAGTTGATCCAAACTGGCCAAAGGGCTATTCCATACCATATGGCGTCATGCTCAGTATAGAAACTGGGTGGGGGTTGGCTGGGGGTCAGCGATTGCTGCTCGGGAACTGGCTGGGTATCGGTCGGCGGGTGGTGAGCAACTGCATTGTGCATCACTTGCTTTGTATATTCTTATTGCTATTATTATTATATTGTTATTATTATCATTACCATTTTACCTTATTTCAATTATTAAACTGTTCTTCTCTCAACCCAGGAGTGTTTCTCACTCTTACTCCTCCGATTCTCTCCCCCATCCCATCAGGGTAGGGGGAGTGAGCGAGCGGCTGCGTGGTGCTTAGTTGCTGGCTGGGGCTAAACCATGACAAAACATTAGACTACTTAGAGTCCTATCTAGCAAACACAGGATTCATGTGGAAAACCAGGATGGTTTTGGGGCATCCATCTAAGTGCAAGCATCTGTACACGCTGGGTGGCTACACTCAAATTAGTCACTGTGGGGCCTCTTCATTGCCTGTAGAAATATATCCAATATATCCAATGAAGTCCATGTTGACTGCTTACATAGATACAAGAAGTGCTTCCTAGAAGGCCCTATGAAGAGACCGTACATTGCCTTAGATGTTTATATTTGCAGTGTAGACACCTAATGCTAGGTGAAATAGAGCCTATGATTTATGCCCACAGAGAGTCCCTAGGAATGCAGTGGTGCCCTGCAAATATACAGCAGAATCTATAGAGAGCAATAAAGTAATACTTTAGGTTTTACCATTTTAACCACCCAGGGACACCAATTTAGAAAAAAAAAAAGGCAATATTTATTCAGGATTTTAACTGAGGAACTTTCTTATGGTCATTCTAATGGCACTGGAAACATCATTAAGTCCGTATTTTCCTTCTTTATCTCTGCAGTAAATGAATATTATGTAAAGCAAACAAAACATTAAAATGTCGGGACTGTTGTCAAAAAGGCCATCACAGCTTACTTCTCTAATTAAAAATGAGAATCCTGTTTCCTGTCGCACCTTGTATACCACTTTTAGTTCCTAACCAGTGTGACAGTTGTTATGAATACACTTAAGATCTATGGCAGTTTCCCTTATTTTTCCCCTTTAACCATAACTACGATAGTGCTGTTTCAAGATTCTTCATTTCATTTAACATTTCATTTAGTCTTTTCTGTATCTGTATCATATTTGCTAAGTGAATGTCCACCTAATTTCATCCTGAATTAGGATTGCTAAAGTTACCTTTTTACTTGGCCTTTTAAATGCTATAAAAATAAATATATTAAGTGATTTCCTTTTCCTTTTGCTATCTTAGTTTATTTAAAGTATTGCTTCCTTGCTACTTTTTACAAACATTGTTTGAGAAGGTGAGTGATATAACCACGTGCACTAAATATTGAAACTCTGTCTGTTATACATAGCACATTCTATACTGCTATTAAAAACTTTAATTTCATAACATAATAAAAAACTTTACAATTTTAATATTTTATCTAAGTTCAGTGGAAAATAATGTCAGTCTAATGACTTTGTTGTAGGCATAAATGAAGAACCAGCTTAATTCTGAGAGTATTTAGCATTATTTTTCTTTATGTCATTCAGAATAGGATTTAATGTAATATGTAGCTGGTAAATTTACATATAACTGCAGTTAATCAGCGGACTGTGGACTTCAGTCCGCTTTCCCTCTGTTGAAAATTTTCCTTTCCAAGTTTTAGCAAATAACTTTACTAAAGAGAGAAAGGGTTGTTTGGGTCACAATTTAATAAAGTATTTGAACATTTAGATTAGGAAATTAATGAGACTTAAATACGTCTTTAAAATTAAACTCACATATAAATGCATTACGAAGTACACTGGAGCCGAAGGACTGGGAGAGATTCTCTCTTTCAGAGATAATGCATTCTATCAAATTGTGGCACATTCTTCCCAGTTTGATTGTGTTTATGGAAGTTGATGAATCTGGTATTTTCCTTGACCTCATTGACATGGAATAATCAGCTGGAATTATACCAGCTTGTGTGTCTAAGTTTTGAGTTCCTGAGGCTGAATTTTCTACTGAGGTCAATTGGCTTGAGATGTTGCATTGCAAAAATATGTTGGAATAAAGATATAAGATTCCCATCACATACTGTAGAGCAAAGAGTGAAAATAATGCTATTTATTTAGCCTTCAGAGCTATTTAATGGAAGATTGTATCATTTCACAGTCAGTTTTACATATCAGTAAGTGGTTTCTGCATATGTATTTTTCTGTGGTGCAGGTCAACTTCTATGTAAGGGTGAAGGCAATTTATACCCTTGGACACAGCGTATCTCTGATTGCTCTTACAACAGGAAGTATAATTCTTTGCCTTTTCAGGTATGTATTTTTTATGAGTAAATACAAACAATAATGAGATGGTTTTAACTGTTGTCTGGTTGCTCAGATATTTAGAAAATGCATTGGTTTTACACTTTTCTCAATTAAACCGCTGACAATAATGTAATGCTAACTTGCTTTTTGCTAGCACCAGTCATATTAAAAAATTTCAAAGCACTTTACAAATTTACAGACATTACAGCCCATGTAAGAAAGAACAGTCATTTAGGAATGGATTATATAAAGCATTTTATATTTGATTGTTAAAATCGACACCTTGAATTGCTCTTGAAAATTAGTAGGATGCTGCTCTCAACATTGGACAAGAGGGCAGCCATATTTTGCAGAAGCTTCTGAGTGATCTTCAGGGGTACTATAATCAAAGGTAATCATTAGTTTGTCCAAGTGGGGTTGTAAAGGTATGGATAATTGTGCTGCAGGTTAGTGCTGGGTGTGCAATCTTTTTGTTAGGCAGTGTTAGGAAAGGCAGTACTGTCTGTTGGTTTTGCCTAATTTCTGGGAGTTTTCTGAGACTGAAAGCAATCTCCAATTGGTAAAAGAAATTGCAAAATGGTATTACCAGTATCATAGCTTTTCTCAGACTCTCCACCTTCATGCCTTTATGTATCACTTCCACCAGTTTAATAGAATAGCCTTTATATTCTCCATTATAAACTTCACACAGCTTTTCCATTCCACTCTGCACCAAAAAAGCCAAGAAGATGCAAGTCTCAGACTTGGTAGAAAAGAAGTACACGTAATATGTAGAGGACAGCATGTTGTTTGTCAGAGCCTCATTCCTCTAATGAACTATTCCTGTGGTGAGTTCTGTAAGCCTTTCAGTCTGCCATCAAATTTTGTCAATATTTAAATTCCGAGACTATTCAGAATAGGTTCATAACCCATAAATATGTTTTGGAATATCTTTGAAAAAAATTGAGTCACTCACGTTTATCTTCTTTCTACCAGCAAACACTACAGGCAGATTGTGCATTTTCAAAACTGCTAAAACCTAATAATGCATTTAAGACAGTGTTATAGACATCTGAATGTTGTCTGTCACCAGAAGTCAGTTATAACAAACGGATCAAGAATTTCAGAGGTGTACGCAAAACCTTCAACTTCCATTTAAATATCCAAGTTGAGAATTCCCCAATCTCTCTGTTGAGTCAGTGGAAAGACCCAGGCTTTTTTTCAGGGGGGAACATAGGATCTTCTAAGCCTCCCCCTAAAGAAGCCTGTTCCTCTGTTACCTACAGGGAGTGTAGGAGCCTCCTAACATAGTGAGTTGAATTAGGAACCCAAATAAGTTGTAAAAATACCCTGTTCAGTAGATAGTTTCCCAAGCACGTAGCAAGCAGCCAGTTACTATGGAAGGCTGCAGCTGAAGCAATTGTAAATTATCAATGAATGCAAATGGCTATATGTGTATGTCTGTTTGTCTCTCAAACATGTTGTAGGGCCTCCCATACATTATGGTCATTTTTAAGGACAGAGTTCGGAAGATAAGAATGTTTCTGTAAGTTTTAACTTTGCGCTACTCATCTGGTAGCACCTTCTATCCAAGAAACATATTTTGCCCTGAAAGGTCCCAGGGTTCTTCATAGAGAGGGTCAATATACTGTTTATAAAGATCAGTCACTCACCCCTGAAATGCATTCACCTTTGAATGTAACCAGTAAACTTTCACTTTGCTGTGTTTAAAAAGGAAAGGAAAGAACAACTCTTCTCAGTGAAACTATTAAAGGAGATTTGGTAGATAAGTAGTGAGTTAAAAATCAGAAGTTACTAACGCAGTAGGGTTGTCAAAATCCTGACTTCATCCAGCAGGATTAGGATTTGAACTCTGAATATTAGTAACACAAGAGATTATTAAAACTGTGCATTGCTGGATTTGTATGTGTATGCTTCAAATTACACTGCATTTAATCCTGAATATATGCATTATTTTTAATGAAAGAAAGCACGGTATATAATTTAATCGTAGGTAACGTGTTTATGACAAGGAAGTGGAAAGTCATTTTTAAGTATTACAACTTGATTTCTGCAGTCTGTTATATATTATGTACTGTGTGGCAGAACAGACACAGCCTCAGGACTTTGCCATTTTTCACAGTATCAGCTTATCGGCTATAAACACATGAAACGCAGAACTGTTGGGGTGGGGAAAGACGAGTTGTTTCTGAAAGTTTCCATGCAGTTGCAATATTCTGTTTTCCATTTCTTCCAAAGAACTGGACTTGATTTTAATCTTTACAGAAACATTATATGGGTTCCCATTATTAATATCTGTAAAGGACATATTTAGAAGCATTGTAAAAGGAAAGGATTTTATATCTGGCTAATCTTTTAATCTCAAAACAAAGACATAAAGCATGAATATATGTAAATACCTTGCCAGACTAAGCTGACAGCATTTTTCAAGTTACTATGGTGCCACTCCTCACACGCTTCTTTATGTACTTTTTATAATTAAACCTAATTGGTAACTTTCCGGCACAATATTTTCCTGTTGGAGGCTGCCAATTTGTCAGGCACATTCTTGCTTCTGCAAACTTAATTTATAAACAGCAAAGCTAATAATTTTGATTTAGTCAAAAGAAGTTGCTTTACCCTTCTCAGAATGCAAGTTGCTACTTCTTCATTTTGAATGTCTAAGTTTTAATATATCATAAAGTTTTAGAAAAGTGGACATCAAAATGTTTGAAAATAAATACTATTCTTCAGATATTTTAAAAAAGGTTGGTTTGTTCCAACTCCATGAGTAAAAATAAATTGTAGAACAGCATATTTCTACATAACACTGACATTCTAGATCTTACTACAGATCTTGCTATACTTCCTTTGGGGTTACTCCTGTATAACAAAACCTTCCAAAAAATTGTCAGTTTCTCTGATATGTGTTTTTTACCAAGGAGCAAAATATGAATCTCCATCATTTCTATACGATGTGCTCTCATGTGGCTGTCTGTAAACGTTCCTCGCATGGTAGTTTTGTATGATGAGGTAGTCATCAAAGGAATAAGCATGATCACTTTTGTTTCGTTGTAAAGAACAGCATTTCTTTGTTACTCTGAATCATCATACATATCCCAAATAAAAATACCTTCTTTTCCTCTACCTTCAAAATGTTGGTTTGACAGCCTTTATGTATCCAACATTTATTATATTGGCTACTGAATGGGATGAATAACTAATCATCTAAATTAGTTATTTAATACTATTTAATACTATATTAAATAAAATTTAAAGAAAAATATTTTCCTCCCATTTGCAGCTTGCATGTATCTCTGAATTCCATAGGAATATATGATGCAGTCCAACGTAATAGCAATATTTCAGTTTTTCTCAGAACCTGTTTCAGCAAAGGACATTCATAGCCACAAAAATTACTGGATTTTTGACAGCTGCTTTAGGTTCAGCCTAGTATTATGTCCCTTGCAAAACTCGGGGCTAGCAAGGTGGCTCTGTTAATCCCTACACTCACAGTAACTATCCTTGCTTTAATAGTTCAGAATGGATTATTCAGTGTTCTTTGGTAAAAATAAAAACATGAAGACTATTTGGAAGCTGCCACTACACACCACCATAACATCCAATTGCATCTTCATTATTTCATTTCTTGTACTTGCTAAAATGCCCTGGCTTCTGGCTTATTTCCAGGTGCAGTTCAAGGTGTTGATTTTGACCAAAAAAACCTCTTAGCAGTTTTGATTCTGGGGATTTGCTGTAAAAGCAATCTTTAAATGGGAAGATCTTGAAGGGAATGTCTTTTAAGTGAAAAGCCCTCAACTTACAACTTGCTTCCTCTGAGCACTCATTCACATACTTGGAATATTTAATTTGCATTTGTTTGTCAGGCTTTCACATGTCTGCTGGACTAAAGAAGAGAAGTTTTACATCTCACTGGATAGAAAGGATAGGTGATCTAATGTTTTGAATGCATTTTGTAATTGTTCCTGCATACACTCACATCATAGAATGAAAAGCCATTATATAGCAAAATGCAGGAGATAAATGAAAAATGAAACCAGAAAATAATAGGCGAGGGCATGTCTGAAATATATCCAGGATAATCAAAGTTTTATTTGCAAGAAAAACAGCGGGATGAGTGCACACACAGAAAGATATAATAATCTATGTCTATTGTCAGCTTATCTTAAAGTGTGGGAGAAATACCACCGGGATCTTTTGGTCTATGATACTGAAAAGGAGTAAGAGATACTTTATTTGTATATTTCGGACAACGTATAATGATGATGAGGATGACGATGGTGATAAAAGAAAACAGCAAGGCAGCACTGACAATATGACAGAGGAGGAAAGGGTAGGCTCTTACTAAAGGTTCATATTACTAAGAAATGATGGGAGAATAATAGAAGTCTGTTCAAGAGCTTTCTGCCTCAAAATCTTAAATGCCTGTTTTTAAATCTCTTCTTAGAAAACTTCATTGCACTCGGAACTACATCCATCTGAACCTGTTCCTCTCTTTCATTCTAAGAGCAATCTCTGTTTTAGTCAAGGATGATATTCTCTATTCCAGCTCCAACACAGCTCACTGTCCAGAGGATCAAACCTCATGGGTAATAAACCTCATTTGCTACTTGGTGTATTACTGTTGTGTCACTAAATTTTCCTCCCTGATTCTTTTAAATATTTAGGAATACCAAGCTGTCAGTGTAGCCAGTTCTGTAGAAAACATAATGACTAGCAAACTAGTCTATTAGAAGGAGCCAGAGAAAGAAGGTTGCAGCACAAGTAAGAGAAGTTAATGTTGCTTTGCATGTCCGTGAAGGGACATGCCATCTGCCAAAACAAATCATGACCAGCTATAGCTCAGAATAAATATGGCCACTGTATTAATCAGCTGGGAGAGTTTAAGACAAACAGAAGTGCCATCAGCTGGGAACAATTAAAGGCTGCTTATCTGGAAGCGTTTCAGCAGCTTTATCAGGGGTTCAGGAATTGGACAGGTATCAATCATAGAATTATAGAATCATAGAACGGTATCAATAGGACAGGTATGAATGGAGGGAGAGAAATGAGTCAGGGAATTAAATATTTGCAGGAGTTGTCTTTATTAACTCCTCTGGAGCTATGATGGAAGTGTTGTCATCTGCATTCTTGGCAAGCTAATATGTTTACTGCATTTTCATGCACAGGGGTTAAAAAAATCTCAAGTCTTGTTGTTAAAAGACTAGATGATGTTCCCCATTCTCTGCCTCTGTTGTTTCAGTCAAAAGTGCTGCAGAAGAACCCTACAAATATTGCTGAATACCTTCTGAATTTAATTTACTGCAGTTTAAGCTTGTGAAAAGAAAAAAAAGGAAGGAAGATATTTTTATATTGATGAAGCCATATTGTCCCAAAGCATAAAGTTCTTAGCAGTGACTACCAAGCCATATGTATGAATTAGTAATCTGGGATATTTCTAATGAAGACAAATACGCTCTGAGTCTGTAGATCCAAAGTAGGCAAAGTAGTTAGTAGGTAGACTGTAGGCATAATCAAAAGTTCTCAGGTCCTTGAAGGACTAGTCAATGGACTCTCAAAATACTACTTGATTTCTGCAATTTCTTTTATCCCCCAATTATTCTTGGCTGCAAAGCCTCATATGCTCCTATTTGAATATGTCCAGTTTTCTGGACTGTTGGGTAATTTCTGTTGCATTATATGTGGGATGCACTGGCCCCAGCTTGGCAAGGCTGTTTTGTCTTGCACTGGCTGGGTGCTACTTTCTTACATAACAGCATGCGGGGTTTGCTGCTTTTGTCACGTGTGTGATGTTCTACAGTTCTGCTGCACTCACAGATGTCTAAAAACACACAATTCAAAATGCAGTGTAACTAGGTCCTGGATCTGAATGACGCAGAGCCATAATTTTGGCTAACTCTTTACTGACAGATATCTTACCTATGCAGCATCTGGAAATCCACCTGATACAGGATTAGCTGCAGGAGGAAGGGAAAATATTTTGATGCGGGGTTCTGGTATGTAAATTGAGAATATAATACCAGGGAGTATTTGACTTTAAAAGAGACTACAGAAATTTTAGAATGACTGCTAATCTGGTTGTAAGTAGTCATAAACATAAAAGTAAATTTCAACTGGCATTTTGAAATGTTTAATTTTCTCCATGTTAAATTTTCTGGTCTGCAATGGATATCCCTTCAGTGTATACAAAGTCCACAGGTAAGATTAGTCTTACCAAACAAGGTGACTGAACTAAGCTCTTTCTCTGAGCTTCTGTCTTTGTCGCTGGACAGTTTATCTCATCTGCTTTAAGACTTTCTCTGGACATGCCCATCTGTCTTCATGAGCTGTATAAGGAGCTAGTTGGCCTGTAGGTGGCTAGCTTTCACCAGAAACCTTGCTTGTAGGCAGCTGAAATTAGGTGAAATGAATTCAAGCCTTTGGGCTCTTACTTAGTTGTCTATATAGGCATGTACACAGCCATAAATATAGGCATGTGTATTGCTTGGGATGCGCTGACACCACAAGGGGCTGATGGATCTCTAGGAGGTCTGTGCCCTTCTGACTTAGCAGCTGGTGAGTGGGGTCCCTGAGGGCATCTCACTTCATAATAGACCCCTATGTTTAGACAGAGGAATCAATCACCACATGAGTAAGTTACCTACTTACATATTTGGTGTACTTGGAATTTTAACAGAAAGAGTGGAGGTATGAAGGGTATTTAAAATAGGGAAGGGAGTAAAGCAGGCAGAAACTAGAAGTTTTATTTAGTCCATTTGGTTTAGTCTGTTACATTCACCATATCGTCACATGTCTTAGCTCAGTCTCAGCAGAAACGTTTTTTATGTTCAATTCTTGCATCCCAAATTCCTGCTGGGAAGCACCAAAGTAGCAGCAGCCAGCACTGTGGAACATCAGCAGCACAGACACCTGAAAATTAATTCTGAAGAGCCACACACACACAATAAGTATATTGGGACTTCATTTTATGATGCATGCTTATGTGTTTTGTTAATTAAGAAACACTAAAGCATTTTCTAAAGGGAAAACATAATTTTTAAAAGTTCAGTCAACTTTTTCATCTAAGTCTACTTAGAGTATTCATCATGTAAAGTTATACTTTTCACTCAGTTTCCCATTTAGCTTGAAAAATTCATAAAGCAGTTTCTTTGTTAGTTTTTACTACGTTAGGAAGTCAGCTGTGATTTTAAGATATTTATTAGCCACCTAGTAGATGATCATTTAATCTAATAGCCGTTCATTAACTAACTATTGCAAATGTGTGCATTTATTGATAACCACCACCTTTTACAATATTTATGCTCTGAAGTTTTCAAAATTTCTGAGCTAATTTGCTATGAGAGCCATCTAAATAATTTTTTTATAATTCATTTTCTTTTTATATATACAGTAACATTTACAATGTCTCAATTTGCATGATTGAAGAAAAAAAATTTCTACTGGACCTGGGTTACTAGTATTGCATGGAGAGTTAAGACCTATAGGATATATTAATAACAGAATAATACGGCATCTTTCCTGCAACAACTTTGATCCCTATTCTCATATTTCAGGTGGGCTGCAAGGCTATTTTGGTGTTTTTTCAGTATGGTGTTATGGCAAACTTTTACTGGCTCTTAGTTGAAGGACTTTACCTCCACATCCTCCTTGTGCTAATATTCTCCCCCAACAGACACTTCACAATCTACCTGCTGATTGGATGGGGTAAGAACTTAAATAACTTCCAATAATATTCTTTTTTCTGTATGTATGTATTAGTCAGGTTCAATATTTCATACCAAGGTAGTCATGCTGTGTCTGTTGGATGACTCCTCAGACTCACTAGTTCCTCAGTTCAGCTCCAGCGTAGGTTACAGCTGCTGTACCATGGGAGAGGGTGGGCACAAAACAGCTGAAGCATAACTGCTAGCGTGCTCCTTGGCATGCCTCTGACCTGCGCCAATCGCACAGTGCCCAGGGGTTGTTCAGGATATAGCATGGTGCAAGAACCGCCACCGCAAAACATATGATTCAGGCTGTCCTAATTTGGGAGGAAAAAGAAAGTTTAGCTGCACAGCCACAGGCTATGCTATGCTATCTGCCTTTTTGAAAAGCCCAATAATATTTTCCATCTGGTTTTAAATACATGTATTCCTTTCATTTCCAGAAAGTGCAATGATATTTATATGGAGCACTTTAAAGCTTCCAGTAATAGGTGGTCATAAAACATTTAGGTATTGCTGGGAAATGGGAATAAACCAGTGTGTGGGAATGGTTCCTTATGAAATGATTTACACTTCGGTTTTGTGTTGTAGTCCTTGGAAGTGCATTGGGAATGCGTAACTTGCATCTGTCTCCCTGTAGGTCATTCTGACAGCTTGAAAGACACATATGAAAGGCATGTTCTTTGTGTATTCGTCATTATGGCTGCATTTTTATAAGAAATAAACCCACTTCCCTGCAGTCTTTGTTTGTAATAAATTGCTTGCATCATGAAGCTCATCAGATGGGCCTCTCCCTCCATTCACTAAACTGTTTACTATATGCTGTATATCTGGGGAATAATTTACTGGCAGGCTGAACCTTTTTTTTTTTTTTTTTGGGCTTTTTTTTTTTTTTTTGTGGACTTATATTTTTGTTATCACCCTCTAAATCTCTTGGGATTTTTCAGGAATTCCTACCATATTCATTATTACGTGGACAGTGACACGGATCATTTTAGAGGACACGGGGTAAGTGTGTTGGGGAGAGAAAGCTTAAAGCCTCCAACTGTGCCAATACAATCCTTGCCTTGGATATGGTGGTGTTCACACAAAGGTAGTTTGCTGTTCTGAAGGGGAAGGGCACAGAACTGAAATTTCAGATATGGCAATAAAGGGACAGGTGTTTAGGAGCTCTTCAGCATGCTGTTTATGCTTGCTGTTTATTTGAAAAACTTTAAGGGCAGGAGGGGGCACAGATAGGTTATGACTAATGTTACCCCATGACACCCACATGTAGAGCTATTTGCTTTGAAAGTCAAAATAATACTTAAAATAGCAGTGGGGGTCCTTGGGTTCAGTGATGCAATACAGTGCAATAAGATGGTGGGCATTCTAATTTGCTAACTAGCAACTCAAAACATTGAAATCTAGATAACATTGGGTATATGAAATTACATTCCCAGAAGTGAAGCAATGTGATGTAAACATATGTAAGATGCATGCAGTCAGATAAAACTGACTAACTAGAGCTAGGCCTGGCTCCTGGCATGTGAAAGGGAACTGAGATAAGAATTTTGTAGGAAGATCAGAGTTACTGCTCCTGCTGGCCCAAAGGAATGGGAGAGCATTCCTAGCTAGTGGGACAAACCATTTTCACACTCCTTTTTTTTCAACTTGACTAATATTTTTCAACTGATTCCATAATTAAACTGAAAAATCATGTCCTACATAATTTCTAAGTTTTCTTTGCAAGACCTCTAACATGTAAACCAAAGGCTAACGCCTTTTCCTTTGTCATTATGATTACAGTTAGAGAAACGCTGAAGAGTATTGCCCTTGCTTAAGATTAAACTGTCAGAGCACTTACTCTCAGAATATTTGGACCAAAAGTGAGCCTACAGTGATAATTAAATTTTCAGCTTTTCAGACAAAGTTTCAGGTTCAGTCTCACATCTTCCTAAACCAGTTCCAGCCATCTGTAGCCTACATATCCCACAAGGAATTATGTCATTTCAATTGTATCTGTCAGTTGCTATAGATCTTCCTGCTACCCAGAGGCTGGGGTTAAGTGCTTGTTGGAAAAGTGTCCTTACAGAAAGTGAAACTAAGCTTGCTTTCCCTGAAGGCCAATGTCCCCCATGATGTCTAATGGTACAGTCTAGTGTGCCTGATGTTTTAGCTAATTTGAATATGCATATTAAAACCAGGGAAATGAAATTAAAAGCAGAAAGAGATTGAATGCCGAATTCTAGGCTAGAACCGGAATTATTTTAGTGTGCTTTGACTTGTATATAAGAAATACTTCTCCTTATAGGTCTTGCTTGCCAGATGATATTAATGTCAACATCATTTTCTCTCTTTTTTTTTTTATAGTTGCTGGGATACAAATGAGCATGGTGGTCCCTGGTGGGTTATACGAATACCAATTTTAATTTCTATTATAGTAAGTAAACTTTGAAGCATGAATTATAGATCAGTTCAGCATTGTGCAGTGCATATAGCCATTATTCTTTACTGCTAGTTACAGATAGGCAAGAATTCTGTTTTAATGAAAAGAAATTGCGCTGGAGGAGAAATGTTAAACAGATGCCAAGGCCATTAAAATTTGTTGCCTTCAAAATTTATCTGCCTCCTATTAAATGAGCAGTTGCTTTTATTTATATGTTGTTCTTTCTTTAACATGTCTCCTGTTTATGAGCCTGGGGGAAGCAAAAATCTAATTATACTTTTCAATTAATTGCAGATTTGATTTTGTATGTAAATAGATAGCCTTGCAATTGAGAATCTGATATTATTGCAGACATAAAAAACTATGGCTGTGTATACCTTTCTTTAATTGGTAGCCCACTGAAATATGTATCAAACATGAAGTATTTGCAAAAGAATACCATTTGAGAATGTTTCATGGGGCTTTTCCTATGTGGAACTCATTAGAATTACTGGAGTAGCAAAATAAAATTCCTGTTCACTGTGATGATTGTGTAATTAACTTCAGGCATAATATACTATGGTTATATGTCCATTTCTGAAAACAGTCATGGTGCAAATTAATACATTTCAGGTATACTTCCTTTATTTTTAACATTGTAGTCAGAAAAATTAGGGCATTACTAGATTACACAAGATTTCAAGAGTCCACATTATGCTTGGGCTTGCCTTTCAATCTGTGCCTGCTGAAAATCATTTTGAGAGAACTTTCTATCATCTTCATCAAAATGAATTCTACAGTGTTTAAAGAGAAAGCAGAGTAGGCATATGTGTGAAATGACATAAGGTAAGGACTCACAGAAAAGATCTTTTATGATATGAAGAAATGGGCATGCAGCAGAACTACAGCATGAAGAGAATACGAGTACCTCAAAGGAGCTGGAGAATGGGGCATGGTCCAGAGCGAAGAAAAAATGCTCAAAGATAAAAGCAAAACAAAGCACCTGGTGTTTACAGAAAGATGAAAGTCTATTCTCTGGATGTTCAATTTAAACAGCTATCTGGTAGACAGCTGAGACTTCATGTGCCAGAAAGCAGTGCTTCTCCAAAGAAGTCCTAGACCTGGAAACAGAAGTTATCACCGGCAGACTTGCATTGCAGCTGGATCTTAGCAAAGACTGGGAAATGAGTTGTGAGTTAAGAAAATGGAGTACTAGTCAGTCAGCAAAAGTCCAGTATATCTTAAAACGTGGACCAGAATCACTGTTTGAGGCAAAGGAACAGTCGTTCTCCTTTTTTTTTTAATGGTTCTATTACTGATTTGATACAAGGTGTTGTAGGACATAGGGGAACATTTTGCAAATGACCTTTTTTGGCTTGCCGGGTGCACATGTTTAGGATCTGCTGTCTCCTTCCAGATATGTTTCTTCTCTTAAACAGCACGTTTTAGGGATGAGAGCAACTAAAGATGGCCAAGTGATTCTGCAGTGTGTACTGTGTGAAGCCACTTACTTCTCAGATTAGATGATTCTTCAGCTGTTTGATCAACTACGTTTTGCATTTGGGAAGTTAAGCTGTGAAAGGGAGTTATAAAAGCAATGACACTCACCCTTTCCTGCTGGATAAGTAAAGTATCTTGTTGGAGCATTGAACTACAACCAGCACGTTCATTGTGGCAGCTAGGATGCTGTGTAAACTTACTGCTGTGCAAAGTAGAGCGTGCATTCATAGAGCAAGAGGAGCTAATGAAACATCCAATAAAATTGGTCATTGATAAGTGACAAACACTACACTCATGAGAACATAATTTTCAATATACATACACCGTGATAAGCCTCAACATTTCCAGTTACCTTCTGGAAAAAATAGAAGTTGAAGATTCAAATCTTTGAGTAATGAGGTCAGTGCTGCCTGCCATTCAACAATGAAAATAGATCATTGCAAGTTCTTTGGATAGGTGTTGTGAAAGAGTCATGAAGTTTCTCGGTAAAAATATGTACTTACATCATTCTCACTCACACAGTGCCTTCAGTCTGCTTGAGAATGTAGAGAGACTGGAAGACTCACAGAGAATGTTGACAAGGATGACCAGCAATAACAAATGGCTTCAGTAGTAGGAAGGACATCTATGTAAGTAGTCAATGAGGTGAACACAGGAAAACTCTGAAAGAAGCTGAATTTCAGGAAAAGAAAGGAGAGCAGAACACCTGAGCTGACAACTCTCATTGACTGTCTTATGTAATGGCATGAAAGAAAGCCCAGAGTATGGCTACTGCAAATCTTTAAGAGGAGGAAAAGGAGTGAAAAAAAGAAGAGTAGAATAGAGCCTGATTGTGAGGATAATGCCATGAATATACTTTTGAAAGAAAGGAAATCAAGCAAAGTTTTTAAGGAACAATGGTTTAACTGCATTAGATTTAACAGGAAGTCCGCTCAGTCTTCATGCCATATTCACTTTCTTCCATCAATTTCTGTGTTAACTCCAAACATTTTCACTGCTTAGAAGATTATACTTTCTATAAGGTTATTATCCAACAACACTATTGTGAGAGCAAGTTCTGAAGTCACTTCTCAAAGTGGGAATGGCTTCAGTTAATTCAGTGTGTCAGAAACCTTTGCTGGTATCTCCTCCTGACAATTGTGGCTTCAGAAAAGTTATTTGGCAGGCTTCCATGCTTCATGCTGTACACATTTCAGAGTTATTTAATTGGGGTGACTATTCCAAACAGTTAATGTGGTGGTACCCGTATTCTCCATTTAGCAAATGCCTCCACAGCTGCCTTCTCCATACTTCCACTTGCACATACTGCTCTCATTTGAGAAGGAGCGGTGTTTGGGTGGAAACTACTGCTGTCACATCAAAGAAACTGAGAAATGTTTATCTTGTTATCTCACATTGCAGGTAGTGTAAGGGACTAAAGAGCAAGAAACAAGCAACATGAAGACAGTTTAAATGATACATGCTCAAGGAATGTGTTTAGACTCAAAAACTTGTTGTCAGAAATCAACCAGTAGAAGAGTACCAGCAGCATCTTGCTGTTACTCCAGTAAAGAGGCATCATTTGTCATCACTCTCTTGCATTCACATTATTTTGTCATTTTCCTGTTCTTAGATGTTCATTGAACAGTATACATACTCTGTTTTATTTAAAGACATTATGCTCAAACAATTTTTATGGGACTGAAAAGCTACAATACTAAAAGTAAAACTCCAGGACACTACTTGTTTCATATTTTATTGAAACTTACTATTCTAAATCATATATATACTTTAACAGATTTTAACAAATGATCAATTCAATAATAATCTTAGAGAAATTAATTTGCTCCACTGTAGTAAGTCAGGTGGCAGTTGCCACCTTTAGATCTTAATACCCAGTTTCAGCTGGCTGGATTTACAAGCTCAGTCATGCCAAGGACTGTTACAAACTCCAAACAAGAATGTGTGTTTTTCAGTAATCCAAGATTGTGTTTACAGACAGAAAGGTATGTGTTTGAAAACAGACTTAAAAGTAATACATGAATGTCAGTCAAGAACGTGTCACCTGAGTGTGGTTTTGCAGGTGATTTGATGTTTCAGAAACGAAATGGATGACAATTTATTCTGTTACAGTAGAAATTAGGGATGCCTGTGAAGAACAAGAAGTTATTCTGCCAATCCCTTTGCAAATACAGAATAAAGATTTTTCCTTTTCCTATTTTGTGGCTAACAAATATACAATGAAATGGAAGCTCTCTCCTTGTCCACTAATACTGCCTCCAGTGCATATGGCAAACTAAATGTCTATCCCTTGGTCTGTACACTCTGCTGTGGTAAGTCTGTAGATACAATCAGTAATAACAGGCTTCTGCCTGTTACTTTTATAGGAGACTTGCATCAAGGAAAACTTCTAAGTCATCATCTGCCTGAAAAATGTATGTTAAGTTCAGTAAAGGCCTATATTTTCTAACATTTCTTTTTTATTCTTCTTTTTTTCAAAAATATTAGATTTTATTTATTTAATTCCTGTCAGTTCCTGTCACTTCCCTTCACTTGTCATTTCAAGCAAACTATTAAATACAGAGGGGCAAGCAGTTGCTATGACCATAGTTTATTTATTAACATCACAAGTTGTACTGGGTATGTCAGAGAAGACACAGAAATTCATTGGATTTGAAAAGCTTACAGCCCGATGGTTAAGACTGGAAAAAGAAGAGTTCCAGCAATGCATTGAGGCAGAGACTGAATTTTTATAGCAGTGAGGCAGGCGCTGTCAGGTTGGGTACCCAACCTCCTGATTTTGGGCTTTGGGACGGGATTAGTTAAAAACAGTAAAATGCTCATTTTCAGAGGGATAGAAATTTTTCTCTAGGTTGATTTCTTCTAAAATGTGTGCATTTGATGCAGCTCTTTATGTAGCTGTTGCTGTAGTTTTTAGCTCATGTTGTTGCTATGAAGGTGTGGATTCCAAGTGTTCCCTCACTTTAGTACGGGCATGCTGTATTTAGTGTGCGGTTTTCTAGACCACACCAAACAATCCAGCACCAGATGTGGTGAACACAAGATGCCAAAAGACAAGAATGAAGAAATAATGGGAGTGAGACTTAGGATCTACTGAGTTTTATACTTCAATTTTCTAGATTGATCAGGATGTGATCAGAACTTTTTTTATGGAAGTGACTTTCTATGAAATAAAATATGAAATAAAATAATACTACTGTTCTATGTCACAGGGCTGTCATGAGAATTAGACTGCAAGGATTCAGTTCCTTCAGTGATAATGTCTGCATCAATACCCAAGACAGACAGATATTTGTGAGAGGCCCTTTCTGTGCTTGATTGGAGTGGACAGATCACCTGTGCAACAATCTTCTGTTCCCCTATTTCAGACAGAAATTATTAGAAGTCAAGGCAGGAGGCCAGAGAGGGTCAAAACTGTGTGTGGGACTCACATTTTCCTTTGGGCTTCCAGTCATGAATCCACATGACAATTTAGGACAATGCTTGATTGCGCCAAATCACATCCAATGTCCCATCCTGCTAGGAAACCTGTCTTCAGCTGAGATTTTGGAAGGATGGCATTTCTGACAAACAGAGCTTTCAAAGGCTTTTGCCAGGCGGACTAGAACTGGTGGCCATGCAGAGGTGTGCTGGACGTAACAAACCTAGTGAGGCAGAAAGCAGACAATAGGTTTGACAGTGAGGAGCTTGATGTGTTCTGGCAGAAGGTACGCAACACCCACTGCTGAGTTTATTTGTCTGACTTGATAAGCATTTCTTCGTGCTGTGTATTGAGTGGAGAAGTCAGAAATCACCATTATATTTGTTTTCTTTGCAGGTGAATTTTATACTTTTCATTAGTATTATAAGAATCTTACTGCAGAAGTTAAGATCTCCAGATGTTGGAGGAAATGACCAGTCACAGTACAAGTGAGTCATATTTTTAGATATTATATACAGAACCAAAATCTCTGTAAGATTTCCTCTGCTGAAACCTGCTACCAACAATTGCTGTAATACTATTGTTACATATAATTCAGAAGTACTTTTAGATGTGGTTCAATAAAGATCTTATCACTATGCTGAAATAGAGATTAACATAATTTTTTTGTCAAACACTAAGTTCAATAAAAAATATGCAATTTAATAAAGAACAACAAGCTATTCTTGAATTCGAGTTTAATCCATGAATGAATATGCTGGTACAGAAAATATGAAGAGTAATATCTTTCTTTTAATGTATAAATGTTTCACTTCCATCTAACACAAGTTTGAAGATCAAAACACTTTGCTTCAACCTCCTTAAAAACATTTTTAAAAAATTTTTCATTTCTAAAATACTTCTTGTTGTAATACTTGCATATATTTTAAGAGCTGGAAAGAAGTTATGTTGTTCCCAAAAAGTAAAAAATGAAATATAAAGTTTTATGTTGATTTAAAATAGCAGCTTTATTTTTCTAGAGGAAAACAAGTGTTTCTGATTTAGATCAGCTTCATTTCTGTTTAGGCTTTCTTCTTTTCTGTTATGGTTTGAACATCAAATCCTAACATCCATTGTTTCCACAACTTTAGAATCAAGGAATATTGGGGGGGACAATTGAAATACATTGCTAAAACTGGATTTGTTCTTTATTATATTGCCGTATCAGTTGTTTTTTATTATAATAGCTGCTGGATACTGTAATCCAGAAACAAGAGTTTGTTGTAATAGGCCTTATTTTAAAGCCCAGATATAGACACTGAGTTTGACACTTCAGGATGTTATTATGATATTTCAGTGACAAAACCTAATATGAATACTGCAAATTCAAAACCATGCAATTGGCCTTTGAAAATGTGCTCCTGGATAACACTTTTTCTGCATTTAAAAAAATACTGGATTCCTGTCCTAAAAGTAGATAAAGCATGGTGTGCTGAAGTAAAGCATATCTTTGAAGCCAAAAGAACTAGGACCTTACGTGTTTTGTAAACAACATGACACATCTGATGCAAAAAGTGAAGAATTCTGATGTGCCATGGAAAAGGCAACACAACTAGATTGCATAAGGCTTTGCTTCATAGAGCTACAAGAGTCCTTTTCTGTGTTCGCTGCTTGAATTAACTAAACGTGGGAGAACCAAATCAACCTAGATGAAATTATCCAGTTGCCACATTATCATTTAGCACAATGACAGAGCTATGGGCAGGAAATCCCGTCAAGTTTACTTCTTGTGACAGGAACTTTTGTTTGTTTCCGTGTGGTATATATATGTATTTCATGAAAACGAGGCATTCCCTTCCTATCATTCCCATCATTTTCCACAGATTACTGTAGTGCTTCATAGTATAAAATGTTCATTAATAGCAACCTTGTCCTTCATTATTCAGCCCTGTGAATTCTTTGCTTTTAGCATTTGATTACCTGATTAAGTTTGGATTGGATGGTCTTTAGCCGATACCTGTGGGAACAGTAGATTAACCTCCTCAAGAAATACTGCATCTACAGAGAAAATTAAAGGTCTGGAAGGCTCATTTTTCAAAATGCAAATGCATTTTCTAAAATACAGAGAAGAATAAGGATATTTTGTCTGTCCCTTTCTTTCACTAAAATGTAAGTGCAGTATAGGGAAAGTAACATCAGCTAGACAAAAATACTAAAACAAGAATGGCATGAAAGTGAAATATGAGTCCAAAATGAATACTATTCATGCAAGTCACCATTTTTCTTGCCTTCCTCTGTCCCACTTGTTTGTACCATGTCCCATTCTTTTTGTTGCTCATTTTACTTTTGCAGTGGGTAAGGTTAAGTTCAAATAAAACCAGTTTTCCCTTTCACTTGGGAAACCAGGAAATTTGCTGCCATTGTCATCTCCTCCAGTTGTAAATTAATTTCTTCTGCTAAGGAAATCCTATTTGTCCCGCTTACGGGTATCACCATTAGATGTGAGGGTTTTACTATTCTTGAGAGACTTTGCTGTCAGAACTGATTATCTCCACATAAACAGATGCAGCCTCTGGGACATTATGAACAAAGGAAGGCCATGAAGACTGACAAAGAAAAAATAAAACTGCTTGAAATACCTTGACTTTTCTGTTAAAATAGGTGAATTCACAACAGCATCTGTTCATTGTTGAATCAAGTTATATTCATCAAGACAGTGATGAATTATGGGACTCAACATTATAACTTCTTGAATTTTATCTGATACTGGACATCCATAATCATGCATGAGTGCGTCCGTATAATATATAGAACTGATGTTATCAGAGTGAAATAAGTGAGAGATAAGGGATAACTAGCAATTCATCATTTCAGTGGTTTCACAGGCAGTTTGTCAGAGCTGCTCTGCTTAATAATTTAAAGTTCTCCTTCCTTAACTTCAGTAGTGTCTTGTGCTGAAATGTATTATGTAATTGACAAGACTAAAAATTAGTTAATGGTGTATGCTTAATACCATCAGTATAGTTATGGATTTTAGTATTTGGGGGTAAATCTGAAATTGCTCATGAGAATCTCACGGTTGAGATTTTTCTGGATTACATTTCCTAGGTACTGTTTGCAAACTGTGTATGTGCAATGTACAGACTAGGCATACAGTTGCACATTTAAAGGAGATTAACATCAATTAATTTCAAGAGAGAGATTTTACCTTCCATACAAGAGGATCTGTCAGTATGGCTTTGCAGGAAGGCATTATTTCTTTCCACTCTGAATCCTTTATGCCAGGTAAAAAATATCTTGAGATATCTGATGGCAGCTTGTGACACTTTGTCGAATGTGGTCCTGTGGAATAATGCACTAAAACTGCACCCCAAAAAATGGTGCATGAAACCAGGCTGGGAACTGAACGTACGTCAAAGAGACGCAGCAGAGGGCAGGTCCTACACCCTGCTGCTGTCCAGAGGCAACTGAAAAAGGGTCTTTTGGTTTAGAGAGGCCCTGCAGCCTTTTGCCAGCTTTTGGAAGAGTGTGAGGTCAGCAAGATCAAGTATAACATGGAATTGCGCACATTAATTTATGAGGTTACTATGTGGCTAATCTCACAGCAAGCCTGAAAGGGAAACAAGTTGCAATAAATGATTCTTACTAAGACTGTTTATAAATCTGAAGTCATACAAGGTTTATGTAAACGACATTGCATCAGGTTCTTATCTTAGTAAAACAAGAGCTTATCATTAAACTCCAGCTTTTTCTCTTTTATTTACTCAGGAGGCTTGCAAAATCCACGTTGTTGCTTATTCCATTATTTGGAGTTCACTACACAGTGTTTGCTCTATTTCCTGACCGCAGTTCCAATAATTATAAAATAATCTTTGAGTTGTGTTTGGGATCTTTTCAGGTAAATTTAAACGTTTTTATTCAAAACATGTTTTATTGACCTAGGTTGGTGCTGCCTACTAACTAAGGAATATTGTCTCTTCCAGGGATTGATTGTTGCAGTCCTGTATTGTTTTTTGAACAGTGAAGTAAGTCACCTTTCCTACTGAGGATGTTCAATATTGTTTTCAGTAAATGTATAAGTGCCCCTATAATGCCACTCTGATACACGGAGCTGTTTTACAAGATGTTTGCATTCCTATTTATAGAATATGTATGTGGCAGTTTCAATGCAACAGGAGAAATTAGTGTATTTGGGTGAAGAGTTAAGAGCTGTTTGAAATCTCATTCCTTGCAAACCAAGGTGTTAGTAAGTGTGTCTTCTGTTATTTAACATGAACTAATTCTAGCTCTGTTACAAACAATGTGGATTGTGCAAGTGAGGTGCAACAAGTCTAGAAATGTAACAAAAACTGGAAACACCATTTAATAAGTATTTGGGGGTAATCTTCTGACAGAATCTAACCCCCAGAACAGCAGCAGATTTTTCAGAAGTGCTCAGCTTGTAGCAGCTTTCCTAATCTCAACTGAGGAAGATGCAAGGAATTTCTTTTGAAGTCAGCCACTTTTTAAGGTAGAATATACATTAAACAGCATGCAGTGTCTTGACAGGAGGAATCTGTCTGAAGACGACAGCTGCTTGCACAGGGAATTGACATTCAGGTCTCCTGAGTGCTATTCTGGTCTTTGATATTCATGAGATGCCTGATTTTGGGTTAATCATTTGATTCTATGCTTTAAGTATGTGTGATTAATAGCTAGATACCAAAAGCTAATGTTGCAGCACAAGTGATACAAAACTGATTTTGAAAGTGGCCTTGGGGCATCTCCTCACAGGCAGTATAGACACAGTCTTCACCTGTTTTGTAATCTTTGTAAAAACAGATTTGATACTGTAGAGGGAAGGGATGCCACCCAGAGGGACCTTGACAGGCTTGTGGAGTGGGCTCATGCAAACCTCATGAAGTTCAACAAGGCCAAGTGCAAGGTCCTGAAACTGGGTCGGGCAGTCCCCAATATCAATACAAACTGAGGGATGAATGGATTGAGAGCAGTCTGGCAGAGAAGGACTTGGGGATACTGGGGGATGAAAAATTTGACAGGAGCCAGCAATGTGCACTTGCAGCTGAGAAAGCCAATTGTATTCTGCATCAAAAGAAGCGTGGCCAGCAGGTCAAGAGAGGTTATTGTCCTCAGTACAAGAAGGATATGGACCTCTTAGAGTGAGTCCAAAGGAGGGCCACAAAATTATCGGAAGGCTGGAACAACTCTCCTATGAAGAGAGGCTGAGAGAGCTGGGGTTGTTCAGCCTGGAGAAGAGAAGGCTTTGGGGAGACCTTATTGTGGGCTTTCAGTATAAAAAGGAGGGATTACAAGGAAGATGGAGAAAGACTTTTTGGCAGGACCTGTAGTGACAAGACAAGGGGTAATGGTTTTAAACTGAAAGAGGGTAGATTTAGATTGCATGTAAGGAAGAAATTTTTTCTATGAGGGTGGTGGAGACCCTGGAACAGGTTGCCCAGTGAAGTCGCGCATGCTCCATCACTGCAAGTGTTCAAGGCCAGGTTGGATGGGGCTTTCAGCAACCTGATCTACTGCAAGATGTCCCTGCCCATGGCAGGGGAGTTGGAACTAAATGATCTTTAAAAGTCCCTACCAGCCCAAACCATTCTATGAGGTCCCCATTTGACAACCAATAAACATGGAAAATTTCCTCACGTAAAAGAACATTTTCAGCTCATCTCGTTGATTTTCTTTTTAATACAGGTGCAAGGGGAGCTGAAAAGAAAATGGCGGAGTTTGTGCTGGAAGCAGACAGCAGGCAGAGATTATAGACTCCACAGCTCTTCGATTTCTCGGAATGGATCAGAAAGCATTTCTCAGCTTCACCGGAATTCAAGGGCTCAGTCATTTATGCAGACAGAGACCACCATGATATAAATCAGCTAGGTCCCCCAAAACATGAAAAACTGTGGGATATATCATTCATTATGCAGCTTGATGTGATATTTTATAAAATGTACAGTTTAGTGCTTTGCTTTTCTACATGTTGGTATTTGGGAAATTGGTTTGTGCAGCCAACCAGTTAATAACAGAGACACCTGCCCTGTGGATGCTTTCTGGTTTTTTTAAATGGTATTCATATTAATTCTGATGTTCTCTTGCCATCTACTAGCCGTAACTCTTCAAAAACTCATTTACTATAATGGTCCCTTTACCCTCCAACGTGTATACAAGATAGATGTATGGTATCCTGTTCAATGCAGACTGCTTTGGTACATGTTGAAAAGGTTAAGATGGGAAGCAAGAAAATTTCTTAGACTTTATTTATACTTAAGGAAACATGTCTTTCCTTAAGTATTAGGAAATTCTTTTTTATGGAAAACAAAAATAAAGAAATATAAGACTATAATTAACTGCACTGGGAGTTTAGTGTGCTAATCCAAGAAATCATTAACATTATTTATACAGAGGGAAAAAAAGGTAGTACTCAGCTAATTGTATGAAATTCAGAGATTTCTTTCTACAGAGTTTGATTGCAATCCTGTTGTTCCTTTCAAAAGTGCCTGGTTTTATGTTTAGGTGCAGAAAGTAGGGCTACCTTTGCAGTCCATACAGAAAAGTCCATACAAAAAAAGGTAGTACTCAGCTAATTGTATGAAATTCAGAGATTTCTTTCTACAGAGTTTGATTGCAATCCTGTTGTTCCTTTCAAAAGTGCCTGGTTTTATGTTTAGGTGCAGAAAGTAGGGCTACCTTTGCAGTCCATACAGAAAAGGCTACTGTAATAGTTTTGATTAAAACATCAGCATTTTCCAGTAGTGCTATTGCAGTCACCAGTTATTCTTTTCTGTTTAAAATCAGAGATTTGTGTTGATCTTCTATTAAACAATTTTCTGAAAAGGTGCTTTATTGCTAGAGCAGTCTGGCATAGGATAAACAGCCTTGGATAGCATATTACCCATTGAAAATATCATTTTAATATAATATTTTCATTGAAATATGTCTCTAGAACTACATGCTTGGCAGCTAAAACAAGGAATATTGCAATAAAGTTACAACTCCCATTTAAGGAATAATGTAAATTCTTTTAGCTTAATTCTATTCTGTATCTTTCTGAGCTGATTTAAAGTTTAGTCCTGACCATGACTCCAGAAAAAAAAATTAAACAGAATCCCTAAAAATTATCGTAAAAGGCCTAAATAGAAGGAATTCTCAACAATGCCAAGCCTTTTATGTAGCCACTTTGTAAAAAAAAAGACATAGAACGGACAAATTCTTATAAATATACCCAGAACATTTGCACTCTTCAAAAGAAATAAACCCAGTGATGTTTACTTTCCATGTCACGTTTAACCATGTCCACTCTAAATAGCAAGTGGGAATAATACATATTTGTATGAGTACCTCTGATCCATAAAAGCAATTGCCCCGATATTTCAGGTAACAGATTGTATGGAGCTAGCAGAAGCCGAAGTCCATTATATTGCCAGGCAAAGGGAAGAACCGCAGCAAGGGCATGTCTTGGCAAGCATTCTTGAATATATTACCAGTACTGGGAATATTGTTGGCAGCCGTCAAAGTGTCCATACACCTCTTGGTCTGATTTAATTTAGCTATTTATCAATCAAACACAATTTATTTTAATGGGATTACCCTGGAGTGAGACAAAGTTATGTCCAAATATAGAAAAGGCCCCAAGGTTCACATGAGTACTGCAGAAGAGGTAACTGTGAATGTTACATGACACTAAACTTTACATAGTAGGCATCATTTGGGTTAAACAATATTCACTTGATGAATTGTTACGTTGCCAAATTTGACTTTAAAGAAGCTATTGATCACCTCCAGTCATTCAGAGTGTTTTCTGCTGTCACGTGGTGAAATAACTATGAGATTCTGGAGTGAAGTAGGCTGCCCAATGACAGTCCCATGGGGTCTAAAGATACGCCCCTACACATGTATTAAACTAAATATATTCCCAAAGGCTTTAGACTCAGAAACCACTGCTAAACTTTAGTATTTTTCCTGGATCTCTGAACAACCTTATCAACAAACTCTTAACTGCAAATATATGAAGACACATTGGAGCTTTGGGGGCTGCTCCTATAGCTAAATTAAATACATCTGTGCACTTCAAGCTGCTTTGTCTGAAGCGGCATTGGGACTGCTCGGCTCCCTGAGATGTGACATGCAGGATGTACTTTTTCCCCAAAATTTCTAGGGTAGAAAGGCACACTTGACAAGCATTCAAGCGTACTCATCGTCATGTTCAAAGGAAGTTCTTTGAGTGAGTTGGCACACAGACAGAATGGTGGTATAGAAACAGAGATTTCAAGCAATCAGTTCCGTAAGTCTGTTCTGCATGATGCATCATCAATTACAAGTGTTTATAATTCATTGTATGCTAGAGAAAACTATCTTTGTTCTAATTAGGTGGGCATGGAGAAAACCTGCATTTTAATGATTTCTGGATTATAAGACAGAAAAGCTTAAATAAGAAAATACATTTTAAGTTGCAATGAAACAGCATAGTTTCCTTTAACAGGGTGCAGATGCATTTGGACTTGATTCTACTTTTCATGTAGGGAGTAATGCCATCTGAGACAGTGAAGTTGCACCAGTGGGAGAACATAGATGGTATCACTGTGTTTGTAAAGGACTATGTGGGCATGTGAAGAATAGCACACAGGAGAGAAGTGCTGCTTATATTTTTCTTTCAAACCAGTGAAAAGTGCAGTACTTTGTAGAACCTCGTCCGTCTATTAAAAATCACAGAATCTAAATACAGAAACTATGTTTCTATGAGACAGTTTAACTTCATAATGCTTTGTGCAAGCATATTCGTGTCAGTAAAGGCCCAGAGGGCACTGTGCTCATTTGGTTTTACTCCCAGAAAATTCTGATTTCCAAATAATTTTATGCAAAGTTACAGCATCAACCCCATCATCACCTGTTTGACTTTCAGCTGCCTTTTCACACACAGATACACATCATACTAAAATGTATGTAAAAGCTTCAAACCAGTTTGACAAATCTAGTACTTGATCAATGTTCTGCATCTTTACGACACCCAGGAACAAGATAGCTTCTCATGGCTTTGTATTTTGTTGCATTTTGCACAGGGGTGTAGAGTTCAACAGTCCTGCTCTGTGCTGTGGTGACTTGAAGAGTCAAAAGGACAATGGAAGAAAACATCCTTTGGCCTTCTGTCATCCCTAAACCTCATTCTTGCTCAGTCCTAGCAGCATCAGGGGAGGAGGTAGAGGCAGCAAGACAAGCGTATGCTTTACCCAGCACGGCCTTGCCACATAGTGCTTCTCCATTTCTGTATTCCTTTACTGCCTTTCTCCCTTTGATTGCATCAGGGTCCAAACTGAGTTGTAAAGTCTTCAGAGCAGGAAACGTCTTTTTTTGCCCCCACTGAAAAGCCAGTAGCACATCATGTAAAGTTACTGAACAAGAAAGGTAATACAATTCACTCTCATACTGTGGTTAATTGTTCTTTACTTTCCTTGGAGCTGCTAGGGTGGCACTGTTCATTCTGTCTGATTTTTATCAGCGTTACCTGCTGCTGATCCCTGAGGGACAGTGACAGATTAGTCTCCAATTGTTAGCCATGATCAAAATCTAAAGACATAGTGAGCATTGACTAAAATTTTCCTCTGCAGACTCGATTTCAGCTAGGTGCTCGATAAACTCAGGTGAAATTCATCTGCCCTGGTTTTGGTATCTAAAAGCTGGATGTCTGTCTCCAAGCTAAAGATTCTTTTTAAGTGCCTTCCATAGTCATCATAGAGAAATAGGCACTAGCTGCAGATGATTCACCCCACGTTCAGCTGGGCATCTAAGGTGGGCAAGCTGACTCACCTTTTCCTCTGTACTTACTGTAAAATGAGCCGAGGGTAGCTGGCTAAGTACTACTTAGAATTCTCACTCTACATCTAAAATTAGGGAAGATGAATCTCTCCAGAAGGGGCCATTCAGTTATCTGGCTACTGTTACCCAGATACTCCTTTTTAAGCCAAGCAGCTTGGGTTGGCCGAAGTTATCCTCCAAAAAATGTGCAGGGTGATTCAAAAGTTCAGGCAATGGAGGATCTCTCAGTTCATTTGGTAGGGTGTCCCTGTGGTTAACTGCCTTCCATGATAAAGCCAATAGCCTTATGTCCCGTTTTCATTTGCCTGGCTTCAGCTTTCAACACTTGTTTCTTGGATTTGGTCAGGTGTTTGGCTTTTTGTCTTTTGTAGAGGGGTCATATGGTAAAACAAAGTGCTTTAGACTACCAGAAATTTTATGTTAAGTCTCTTGAAAATCACTCTTTAAATTATGTCTTGATTTCATCTTTGAGAAACTAAACACATCAAATATTTCAAATTCTGACAGCGAGGCATTTTCTCAAATACTCGTCCTGATACTCTTCTGTGCCCTGTTCCATTCAGAATAGCTTCAGCCAAGAGAAGCAAGGGAAGTATTTCGGTATCTCCTCCTTCAGGAGTGCACACACCATTGACCACATTTTCACTCCCACTTGCAGCTCACCTGGTCGTACCTTTGAAATCTTTTGAGTTTACGTGGCCATTTTAACTGACCAGGAACTGCCTAGTGACACACAATGAGATAATTGCTGGCATGTTTTTTGCCATGTAAACCTAGTACCTTTTTAAAATGTTGGCCTTGGTGTCTGGCTCAGGTGCATTAATGTGCTTTGCAAAATAACCTTAGGAATATGGAGAGCACCCTTTTAGCCACTGAAAGCAGTGCTGGCTTTCATGAAATGTTAAGAATTTGGCATGTATTTAAGTACTCCGTGCACTCCAGCATGGAGTGCACGAGAGCCCAACAGATTGCACCTGAAGGGCACAGTGATGGGTGCTGCAGGTAGCCAGCTGAGGAGCTACCCAGTTTAAGCATATGCTGAAACTGTACTGTAGCGGCAATAATTAATTGGTGGCAAAAAGCCTCCTACAGTCAAGTTGGAGGCAGCCTGCCCCACTCTGTAGCTTCTACTTCATGTCCTGGTGCACCCAGACAGGCTTTCCTCTGCCTTTAACATGATGAAGGGGAAATCAACAGGCACAGACCCTCAGCAAACCAGAGGATCTGTCTGGGACAGCTTTATGAAGTAAGGCATTGCCAAGTGCACGTCTCACACTCCGTAAGGACTAAGATGAGTCATGTGCATTACTTGTCTCCTATTTTTGTGAGTTCTAAAAAATGTCTTCTGTTGACTGTGAATTTGTCCATTTCAGCAAAGAGATTGTGAATAAAGTCCAAATTCACTTTATACAGAATTTTTTCAGACATCTCTAATGAAAAATCAAGCATTAAATATGTCTGATAAAAAGGAAGAACCGGCAAGTAACCTGCCGAGAAAGCTGCTACGTATATAAGGGTTATCGTCTGAGCGATTACTGTCTGTGCACGGGGGTACAGGAAATACTTTTATTAACAAAAGTACCTTCACATTACCA